GAGAATAATATTAAATGGTTAAACTATGCACCGGTGCACCCATATGCTGCACAGATACTGTATCTGTAATCAATAAAGTATGTTATTCTACGGTATAGACTTTATCTAGTGATCAACATGAGGCAAAAACCCTTCAAAATATGGTGGGTTCCTGAAAATTATATCTTTAAAATATCACCACTATAGATTAAAATAAAACTGACCTTATAAATGTACCACAAAATAAAAGTCTGTTATGTAACAAAGACACCTAAAATTAATTTATGTGAGCACACCCTAACATCAACAACCGTTGACAAAAAAAAGTCTCAAAAACAATAGTAATGTTGGTACACTGGCAATTCTCACGACAGTGCAGCACACAATGAATTCTGCTACTTCCAAATCATTTTGGCCAACTTGCAAGGAAATTCCTTGTGAGGTGTGGAAATATCCTTTTTGAGTCTCTCCAGGAAACACTCAAGAAAACTCAGAAGGGGAGGACGAGAGACATCTAGAGATACTGTGGAGCCGTTACTGTGACCCTACAAGGTAAATTCAGGAGTAGTGCAACACTGGTGCCTGATGATGGGCCACCATACCGGACATTATGTCCTGGCTGTGGTCCACCAGGCCACTGAGAAACAGAACGTAGCGAACTCCCTTCTCTCTCAGCATTCTGGCTCTTTGGTGGCCATCAGCCCCGGGAATAGCAGCTATGTGAGCATGACTGCACAGCACTATTTCTGTGTGCTCTGCTACTTGACATTGAGAGGCCAGGATTAGGTGGCTCCACTACTGTAAATGACTAACCCCTGTCACACACACAAACACACGCATGTGTGTGCTTTTGAAAATACACATACATGTTTGTATGTGTTGCATATTAAAGAGGGAAACTAGCTACATTTATTTGTAATTGAGAAACTATAGTCATCAGCGTATTGTCGCTGTTCCCTGAGCGCCATATATCCCCAAAGCAAAAACGGGTGAACAGGTTTGCGTTCAGCTTTGTGACAATGTATTTTTCAGATAACCCAATGGATTTTTTAATGGCTAATATAGCTCAAAGGGGAACTGGGACAATTTCACGCATCAAAGTCTGCTCACAGGTAGGGAGTACTGCTGTTCAGTATATGGACTTAATTTGCTTGAAGTGACGCAACATGAGTCAGAGTCAATTGGGGCTGAAGGCTGTAAGTTTGAAAATTAAAAAATCTGGACAGTGAAATCTGAAGCCTCTGCTTTGAAGCTACCTTCTCGAAGTTACATTAGCTACTGCTACCATAATACACCGAAAACTCCTGGTGCGTTCCATTTGAACTGGGAACTCGAAATTTCTGATTTCCCAGTCAAACAGTAGTAAAACCACCTTTTTGGAGTTGGAATTTTGACTCAAAAAGTCAGCGCAACCTCATCAAGATGGTGACTCTGTGTATCAACAGAAGTGAGAGCTGCAGTAATACTAACTGTGTCACAATTCAGGGACTGCACTCTTCAAAGTCTGCATTTGAAGACCAATTGCTGTCCCATTTTGAGGGCTCCTTCAAATGCAGCCAAGAAATGCATCCTTCGTTTCCTGGGCAAAAAAGGATCTAACGTGGCTCCTTTATGGCCCAACCTATTCCATGATTCATATCATGATGACTCACTTTTCAAAAAAAGATAAGGCTGACTCCAAAAAAGTTAAACAGCAGGTGAGGATAAATCTACGAATAACAGACTGTCTAGTTTTGGTTCGGCCTTTGTCCCCAGATGCCACACCTTTGTGGATTGCATCCCCCGAGGGATGGACATGATGTCCCTAAATTGGGACACACTGTCTGTTTATTAGAAATTATGCAACAATAAATAAGTTGTACACACAGTACTATCCAACTTCTATCTGTGGACATGTTGCTACTGTTTTTGTACGCACATAATACAACATAATGCATTGTTATGAGCTGGTATTACTACCAGCACTGCACTTGAAGGTGGTTAACTTGTTTGAGACGTCATTCTCAGCTCCGACTTCCAACATAAATGGAACATAGCCTTAAATTGCCTGAAGTGACGTATGTGAGTCAGCGTGGTTGAGGCTGAAGACTAGTTAAAAAAAATCAGGGAGGGTGGATTTAGAAAGAAGTGATGTAATCAAACCTCTGTAACCCTCTCCTCTGCTCCTCATCTCAGTTTGAAGCTAACTTCTAAAGGTTACATTAGCCAGCAAAATACACCCAAACCCTGTTTGAACTGCCAGTGGTCAAGTTATGTTGTGGGTAATGTAGGTGGCAGGTTTCAACAAGGAAGAAAAAAAAAAACAGCCTGACAGAGGTGTCATGTTATAAAGGTACAATTCAAGTACCATTTTAAGAAGAATGAAAAGTTCATTAATCCTTCAGCTCATCTGAGAAAATTCAAAATCACCAAATTGTGAGATATATAGTTTATATATTCTATAATATTCTGTATTTTTAGAATGTGTTCAAGCATGTGATTAGATTCATTGTAGTTTTGTGTTTTTATGTTTTCAAACCTGCTTTCCTCACATGGCCCCTTGATAGACAAAGTAATGTAATTTGAATTTCATTGAACATGTCTGCCAGAGAAAGATTGATCCACTAAAAGTACAAACTGAGCAAATACAAATATGTGTGTGTATGCGCATTGATTGCTCTTTCCTGAGAAAAATTAAATGCGCCACTACAATTTTTCAGTTACTCAACATATGGTATGAGTCCTGAATCAGGTACCACACCCTTATGGTTCAGCTGAACATCTGTCTTTAACTACCATCCCCCAGTGTGAACATATGAGTCTGACAGTATCTTGTTTATTCAGTATATACAGAAATATGGGAATGCAACCCACAAACAGTGTTGAAAAGGATCACATAGCAAACATGCAAACACTACTGTTTTGCTGTGGAGTTTTGCTTGTAATGGTTCGGTTAACCCCTTTAACCCACACAGACACAGCACCAAGGCATTACATTCCCACTCACACACACACACACACACACAGTGCTGGTGTAACAACATCCGTGTAGGAGGTGACTTCAAGGGGTGACTAACATTTGGCTGGGTCTCAGCCTGCCTTTGAGCCCAGCTGGGTCTTTTGACTATCCATATCCCTATTAAACCTGCGTGCGGCATACATGACAGCATTGTTGCATCCTGCTAGTATTTGCCGTATGTGGTCTCTCTGAACTCTGCGGCATTCAGGGCTGGTCGAGGGCTCAGATGTTAGAGTTGGTGGTGTGTCTTTGAACATGACATCTGTTGGCTGTGTGAGTAATGGTGTGTGGTGCGGTGGCATGATGTGTTGTGGCTGAACATCAGGTGTTCTCTTACCTATACACCGCACATCTGTTCCCTCTGGTTCAGTGCGTACACACAGCAGTAAGAAAGTCCTGACCACACTCAGTATGATTGATCTGTCAGTGACACCAATGATACTGTTGTCAACACATGGAACTGATAATGACTTTGTTTATGAGAAATGAGAAATGCCCCGGAGAAACATTAATTTAGCAAGAACGTTTGTTAAACTATATAATGAGAAAAAAAATTGTCATTAAATGCTGTTATTAAGATCACAGAGCCTGTGCAGATAACTAGATTTAAACATAACAACTAGGAAAGCTTTCTCCCTCCATATCTACGCAACACTGACTAAAAATATTTGCCTTTTGAGCACTGACCATAACAGCAACGATGGCCAGGATACAGGTGCTTTGGTTAAAAGTGGTTGCTCTCATGTCAGAGACAGGAAATAAAAATATTATGTTAACTATAATTGGCCAAAAGAACACATGGGTGTTATCATTATCCAGACTGGCCACTTTAAAATAACACATTAATGTGTGGTGTGAATCAGGAAGTGAACCAAAGAGCGAAAATAAACCTGACCTTACTTAACTGATCTACCAGTACAAGATCTGAGACTCCTATTAATGCCAAGAACAGGGTGTGATAATCAAGTATTCATTTCAAGAGAGAGATGTAATGAAGCATATGAGTCAAAAAAAATTCAGATTATCTTTTTTTTTATTTTGCTCTGAAAAAAAATCACATAAATAAAAATCACTTCAAAACTGCAGGACAGGATTTGAAAGGGTGGAACACTTTAATTCACATTTTTTTTTTGCTTGACAGCTTAACTCTGATCTGAGGGAGTTTCTCCTCTAATGATGGTAAGACAACATGACAGTACAACATATTTATACCAGATTCTTGCTACAGTGCATTTTATATTTGACTCCCTTTTAAAAGTTTCTTAGCAATGCAGACACTGAGTGCATAGTTTTTATGTTGCCTATAATCAATACATCGCCAGTGAACTGTATCATAATGTCATTACTACACTGACTCATAACACTAAGCCTAACACGGCCTTAAGATACCCGAACCTGCAGGGTAAACTTGGGTGGGGAAAGTGAAAGAGCAGGGCTCGCCCTTCACTCGCCACCATCACTAATGTGCCTTTGAACAAGGCACTGAACCCCCCACCTGCTGCAGTGGAGCTGCATAGAGGCTGACAGAGCCAACTGGTTGTACTGGGCAGTTTCCAGGTGTGAATGTGTCTAACTGTGTAAGTGTGAGCAGGGCGTTCCTGAAAAGTATTGCTTTCATTGAAACCACCCTGGACAATAATAATAGTACTAATAATAAAAAAATCATCTCTATTCAATGATCAATTTTATTAATCACAGTGCAATTGATCATCTACTGAGTGACAAAATTAAAGCCAAAAATCAGATATTAATGCGTCATATCTCTTCTTATGAAATACTTAATATCTTAAGGAGCTTCTGCATTGTTTGTTTTCTTTTTCATAAATAAATATCGTCCAATAAGAAATATAAAAACAAATGTAACATCATTATTTTAAAAACTGCTGAAGGTGGTTAAAAATCTCTATAAATACAGTTAGCTTAAATAAATAAATTAGAATTATAAATATACCGTTTACTGTACACAAAAAAAAAAAAAAATGGACTTGTGCAGGAAAAAAAACCCAGGTTGAGCTCTTTTTTTTTTTAAAAAAAAAAAAAAAAACTTTTCTTGTTCAGTTCAGTCTGAGACGACTTTTCTTTTCACACAGTCAAGAAGCAGCACAGAGTCTAGACTTGTCCCTTCTTCTTCTCGTTCCTTCGTGTTCATCACCTCATGCTCGTCATGTCTCCACTCCATCACCTGGGCCATTTAGTATTCCAGTATCAGACGGCCCCTTTACTTCTGAGGTCCGCAGGAGTACGTTCATCTGAACGTCCAGCAGAGGATCACGCAGACAACACCCTCTGTTCCTTTCTTCATGTACGTTCCTTTTTCCTGTAGGACCTCCTTTCCTGGTTCACTTCTCTTTTTCTATTTTGAGGTAGAATTTCTGCATCTTTGCCTAACATAAAAAAGAAACAGAGACAATGAGTAAAAAACCCCATTTCATTCAAGCAATAAGAAGAAATAAAAATGCTTGTGAGTGTTTGTTTGTAGCCCTGTCTCCTCTCTACTCACCCCTCTTTGTCTCTTCAGTGGTTGGACGCTAACCCTAGTTTGACCTTCTCTTCATTCTCTACATCATACGCTCCCCGCTTGTGAAACCTGTAATAAACAAAAGAAAAGGAGCTTGTTGAGACTGTGTCTACCTTATTATTAACCAAGTCTCTAGAAAAGCCCTTTATCTGTATGTGTATTGCGAGGGTGTGTTTGTGTGTGTCTTACTCACCTGAGCATTAATAAAAGGCCTATGATGGTGAGGCAGACGGACGACAGCACCACCGCCACCACGGCCAGAGCTGTGGTCCGGTTGTAGCCCTCGGGGGACTGCACAGGCAGGGTGATGAACTCACACCTCTCACCAGAGTAGTTTGGGTGGCACCTGCACACAGCACAGAGAGGGAATCGGATGAGAGGTTAATAATTCAAGGGATAGTTAGATTCTTGAATAGAGGGAGTGGTGCAGGGCTAATACTTACACACAGGAAGGGGCGCGGATGTCCCTCAGGTACTGGCAGGTGCCGTGAATGCAGAAATTCTTATACTTCTTCAGGCATGGATTCCTCTTCTTTCCCTTGCCCTTTGCCCTCTTTCTTCCCTTTCCTCTCCTCCTCTTTCCTTCAGTGCTTTCAGTCTCCAGGATGGCAGAAGGGTCTTTGGGTTTACTTGACATAGCAACTAAAACCAAAAACAGAGCACAAAAGACTTACATTTCCATTTTCTTTGTTAAGGAAGTGTGTAAAAACTGAACTACAACAGTGGTTCGAAATTTGAGGAAATAACACAAGTGATGCCTCACCTCGTGGCTGTTCCATTTCATAGTCTCCAGACATGCCATCTTCATACTCGTCCTCATAGTAGTATTCATCATCGTACTCCTCTTCCTCGCCTTCCTGACCATACTCCACTGTTGTGGCGTCCACGCTTCTGCTCTCATCATCTGCCCTCCTGTCTTTGGTTGTGTCCAAAAAGTTGATAACGGCCGTGTGCCGCTGCCTGTCGCTCTCATACCTGTCAACTGCAGCACCACTGGCCGGCCTGGACACCACTGGAAGCAAGAGAGAATGAAATTGTTTAAAATGTTATAATTTGCATGTATGTTTGGTTTGATGCAATCTTTAGCAGAGTAGACCACGAGAACACCTCAGAGACTCTTCCTCTAGGGGATACTCAGTGAACACAGGTTAGTGTGCCAAGGTGGGCGGACCTCAACGGGCAAGTTGAAACATGTTGTGCACAAGAAAGCTCCAGGCAGATTTTTGGCTTTTTTGTGTAATCCCACTGATCTCTGTAAAGGACTGCTCAGGCGTCACAGATTGCACACCGTGGTCTTTAGGGTATGGTATGGTTAGTAGGCATTTACTGGATTCCTCAGGAGCACTTCAGTAAAGTGGAAACTTGCCAGCAGGTCCTCCCTCAGTGGGACAGTTTAGATTAGTAGAAATGGTAGTGGGGGGGGGCAAATAAAAGTTGGCATATACCCTCTCTGTCTCATACACACACACAAAATGCATGGACAGACAGTTAGCTAATGTCAGGCAAGAATATGAGTTAAAAATAAATGTATCCAGTTACATAAAGCATGCTCTAAAATAGAGAGATGACCCCGTTAGCTCCTGAATAGCCTGGCATCATGAAAACCGTTGCCTTAAAGGTTATGAAGTTTACAAGACATGTTATAGCTCCATCGCTCATGCTTGAGGGGTTTACAATAACAGCCGAGAGGAGACAGAGTCACACAGGTATTCACTGAAAGCAAATATCACACATAATAATCCGACTCAACAAAGAAACACACGTTTTCTTACATGAGCGCACATGAAACTTACCCAAGGCGTGAACCAGCAGGAGCACAACACTGAAAATCCTCATGATGTCAAAACTTCCAGTGACTTTTACTTTTTTTTTTTGTTTAAATCAATTGAAAAAAATATGATCTAAAAGTCGTATTCCTTCCACTTGTTCCGGTTCTAAATATTCCTTCTTTTTTTTCGCTTCTTTTTTTCGATGTGTTTGTATGAATGAATTCCGCCTGTTTGCGACCTCAGAGAGCGGGTGCGTCTCTGATGTTCGAGCCTGAGAGGAGCGGAGGAAAAGAGCGTCCGGACAGAGGCACCGCGGTATTTATGGCCCCTTCACTTCACCACGCCTACAGCCTGCTCAGTGCTGAATTGCTGCGTGGTAAGATGTGAGAGGGGATACCTACTTGTAGCCTACATATATAAAGTTGTAAAGATATTGGTACATTACAGACACTCATTACGACATTAATTGTTGGATTTTCCATTATCACTGATTGGAGCTTAAGTCAGGGGCAATTTGAAATGAATCAAAACACTGATGGTTATGACAGTGGTAGCCTAGGTGTCACTGAGATACTGATAATGTAGGATGATTGATTTTTCCGGTTATCAAATATGCTGTTGTTTATATAGTCGTTTGTATTGACTTATCATATTGTACAGCCTAGTACAATCAATGTGGAAGTTGTTGGTTGTTGATCTGTTATCCTATGTCATCCTATTGTTTAAGCTTTGACCCAAACACTGGTTCTCATTATTTGCTTCCATATCATATTAGTGGTCCTATTTAATTTATGAGGATTTAAGAGAGTTTTAAAAGCATTTAATTGTCAGTAACATACTGACTTTCTATAGACAGACAGACAGACATATAGACATATAGACATATAGATAGATAGATAGATGGATGGATAGAACACTTAATTGATCCCAATGGAAAATTGTTATGTGTGTTACAGCTCCCAAGTCACAAAAAACAGATAACATAGTTAAGAATCAAAATACAATAAGATAACGAATAATATACAACAAAAAATAGAATAAATAAATTTGTTCCCAGAATTTTGAAATGTGTGCATTTTTCCCTTTATTTGATTTCTACTATTAACAAATAATTGTTTTTTTTTTTTGTTGTTGCTTTTTTGTTTGTTTTTTTTTTACATTCAGCCATGCTGGCAGACTAGCAGACTCTGGCTAGCAGGTAACAGACTCCATAGATAGTGTATATGGCTCTATGGAGTCTGTATTGTTTAAACCGGATCTATACATCTATACACGCACATAGAGCATGCCAGTGCAATGGTTCTGGTAGCCCTCACACAATTTAAAGTAACCATTTAAAACTGAAAAATGGTTGGCTAACTCAACTCAGAAAAATAAGTCTAAACTGGATTGATGAATGTTTTTAAGCCTATATGATGAAAGCACCTTGTGAGTGGTTTGACAGGTGAAAATCATGCAAAGCTTGTCTGCGCCACCATGTGGTGAAAGTGGGAACTACAATCACAGGTGGATTCCTATAGTCACCAGGCTCATGGCAGACAATGAGAAACTGCCAAAGTCAGATTTTGAAAGACTGAATTTAAATTATTAAAATGATACCAAATTTAACAATGACCATATTATTTATATCAAACAATCAGACTATTTGAACAAATCCAACTAATAAAGCGTTATTGAAAGAGCCTACTATCATTACCCTAATTGAATAGCACATGTACTTTAACTTGACTCTGGCCTGTTCAGACCTGGTAATAACATACGTCTCAAGTTATCCGATCACAAGCGGACAGCTCAAAGTTCAGGTTTGAACACACACAAGACGCATTTGAGATACAATCACTTGGACCACATTCAGAGGTGGTCTGGGCCACATGTGGCAATATGTGGCCACATTCTTTAGTAGGTCTGAACAGGGTCTGTGATATACTGATGTTCTTAATATGTGTAGTTAAATAATAAAATAATATAAATCCTAATTGAATCTTAAATCACATCACATAAAATAATGGTTCTGGTTTTTGGACATTATGGTTTAATGTCTGAACAGTCTGCTCTTCACACTGAGGCCTACAGGAGAAACTGAGCTGCTGTGACCTGCATAGAGAGGAGTGCAAAGTTATATCGACCCACACTTTGTGAATATGGTATTCATTTTTACAAGTGATTCAAGGATTCAGAGTCTGAACGTAGAGATACTTCAGTTTTCATCCCTCAGTGTAATGTAGCTGTTACAAAGACATTTACTGTATCAGTATGTGTTAATTATTGGCAGCACGTCTTTTTTAGTAGGAGGCATGAATGGCTCTCTTCCATTCAAGTGTCCCAGCACACTGTGACAGTAAGCCAGCATGCACAATACCTGAACCCTGAAATTGAAGAAGCAAAAAGACATTCAGTCTTCATTAATTGTATTATTTACACCTGTAGATTTCTACTGTCAAAATGTCATCTGTGAAAAAAACCTTTATTACTGGATTTAGAGTGGCTGAGGGAGAACAATAAAGATAGTGTAGTATTGGCTCTGATAGTGTGTCAACAGGGTTGGATTCACCCACTTGTGGGCCTTGGGATATAAACTGAGCAGTGGGCACAAGTAAGGTAAAGATGCAGGATTTGCATGCTCTTTCCATTTCAGTTTATATCAATCAGTTTATCAGTCAAACGTATTGCTCACAGTGAACCTGGGGCCCGAGGTGGCCCTGAGGGTCTGGGGCGTTGAGCAGCTCCTGGCTTTGCATAATAATTCAGTCTTCACCATCAAGTACCATTTCCAGAAAATAGTCATGTAGAAAAGACATCCCATTAGACATCTGCATTGTAAGGGTTTGAAAAAAGTGTGTTGTTAAGAAATAGAAGAAAGGGCAACATCCACATTATCTGTCTGAGGTGAGGACATATAGGGTTAAATTAAAAAAATGGACTATACACAGGTATCATAGAGATTGAGCATGTGCAACCAGATGAAAAGAAACCGAGGAGACTAAAAGAAACAAAACATAAAACTAGAACATGCAGACTTCTGCCAAGACCAATGTGAAACAATATACACCAGACTTCAGAGAAAAAAATTCAAATCCATTGTAAATGATTCGCATCTGCCTCAAATTCTAATGGGTTCTTCCATGGCCCATACCCCATCCCTCCACCAATTTCGGTCCAAATCGATTGTGTTTATTTATGCTGACAAATAAACAGGCACGGACATAAACCATTGACTATATATAGGTGACGACATAACCTCACTGGCGGAGGAGCTCGGTAGGTGGCGGTAAGGCACTTATAAACTAAGTTACTAAAAGCCAAAGAAGAAGAATAAAGTTCTCATTGCTCTGGTCTGGTCACGTGAACACACGGGGCGAGGGGAGGGGGGACAAAAATGGCCGACGAGGTGGGGGAAGTAAACACAGCTGTTGGAGATAGTGAAGCAAAACAACAGCTAGATGAGTACGAAGTGTCAGGAGCCGAGACGGACGGCGAGTCCGGCGACAGCGACGGGCAGGGCCGGACAGAGAAGCGGGTCCCGGCAGCGGCAGAGAACAGCTGGTCGGCTCCCATCATGTCTCTGGCTCGGAAGGCCACTGAGACGATTAGCAGCGGGGTGAGCTACGCCGCTGCCCCGAGAAAGACCACACAGGGATCGGTTGCGAGCTCCCCAACGGAGAAGGAGCCCGAAAATGATCTCAGTAGCTCTTCTAAAAAGCTTCCAGGTATGCTGTCACTGTCATTAAGCGTTGACACTCAAACTAACACTTTCCTTTTAATCAAAGTAAAGTTAAAACACTGCAGACAGGGTCCATCCCTGTGACTTCCTCTTCGACTTAGGTTAGCTGTCAGCTGTCAGGACACATGACTTCATGGGCAAAGCCTTGATTTTATGGGATGCTGACCGTGCAGAAAGTCACGCTGTTCTTGTGTTTACCACCATATATGGTTTTAATTCTGCACTCTGTGAACATGCTTCTTTTTGACTGATCCCAATTTGAGTGCTTTTTCCTTACATGCTTTACAGTTGTGCTCCCCAAAGACCCCATGGCAATAGAAAGGTCCAACCTCCTCAGTATGATGAAGCTGAGCATCAAAGTATTAATTCAGTCCTCCTTGAGTCTGGGCAGGACGCTGGACTCGGAGTACCCTCCTCTGCAGCAGTTCTTTGTTGTCCTGGAGCATTGCCTCAAACATGGCCTGAAAGGTGAGACAGTCCATGAGGCTGACCTTGTTAATGTAATTCATTTTTATTGAAAGTGGTGTCACAATAAGAGCATACAGAAATTAAGTTTTCATTTTTTTTCAGCCAAGAAATCCTTCATTGGTCAGAACAAATCTATATGGGGACCTCTGGAACTGGTTGAGAAGTTGTGTCCAGAGTCCATTAACATTGCCACAAGTGCCAGAGACCTGCCGAGCATCAAGTATGCTACCGCTCACCATTTTCCAGTAAACTTACAATGTGAGGTATGCCTAACACCTTCCTGATTATTGACTGTTTTATTTTTCTTTTATTCTTTGTCAGGACCGGTTTGGGTAGAGCGAGGGCTTGGCTGCATTTGGCGCTCATGCAGAAGAAAGTAGCCGACTATATGAAAGCTTTGCTGGACCGCAAGGACCTCCTGAGGTTAGTTTGACTGATCAGTAATGTGGGTTCAGCACCAGGCATTTTATACTGCAACATGTTTACATGTCAGGCAACTGCTTATTTACCACATTTAACAGTTTATTCTGTCTCCTTCCACATTTTCTTTTCAATCTCCTAGTGAGTTTTATGACTCTGGAGCATTGATGATGGAGGAGGAGGGGGCAGTGATGGGGGGACTGTTGGTGGGCCTCAACGTAATTGATGCAAACCTCTGTATTAAAGGGGAGGATCTTGATTCTCAGGTGAGTACTGGCAGGATTTGCTACATATTCCAGCAGTCACACACCTCAGCCTTCGATAACAAAAGTTGATCAGGATACACAGTGATCAGTTTGTCTTTCTTGTTTAGGTAGGAGTCATTGACTTCTCCCTTTACCTGAAAGATCCTGTGAACAGCGAGACTCCAAAAGAGTGAGTGTCTCACCTACACTGCTTTTCTTTATGTTTGGAACTTATTTTAGTTTTAGCCCCTGGCATGATTGTCATTCAATTCCAAACTAACCTCATGCTCACTCAGCCCCTCAACTGATTTATTCTTATTCTTAGTGATGCCAAGATGACAGCCATATTAGATCAGAAGCACTACATTGAGGAGTTAAACCGTCACCTCAGTGGCACCGTCACTGACCTTCAGGCCAAGATGGA